TAATAGCCCAGTATGCTCTTTGGATATATGTCGTCATTAGACTATCACCATGTCCTCCTAGTGCATTCATATTTTTGTTTTATTTTCGTATGTGTCTGCTTTGTTTTGTTTGCACATGACTGGTTTGTCTGTCTATGTGACTGGTTTGTTTGTCTGTTTACGTGTTTGTGTTCTCGTGATCAAAACAGATCTGCAATACAGGGCTAGTACCAATTCCCCAAAATTTTTGTCTATATGTATTTTTAAAGGACAAATTTTTGGTTTCTCTTGTTTTCTTTTAGTTAGTCTACTTGTTTTTTAGCTGCCTCTTCTTTTTTTGTACCTTTTCTGGATGCTCTTCTTTTTTACTTAGTTCTACCAGAATGGTTCAGACAGCTGTTTTTGCGTAAAGTTGATTTTTGTTTCTTGCCAAATTTGTGTTTGAGTGATCAGCGGGAAGAGATAATTTGAGTAAATAAATATGTATTATACTATATTGTGTTTATTAAATATGGGTTAAATCTTTCTTCTACAAAAGTTTTACAAACCAACATGAGAACTTGTGCTTTATTACATATGCCTTCTCTAAATTGTTCAATATATTGCTTATAATTATTACTTGAATTCTAACTTTTTTTTATTAATACTAAATTAAATCATTCTTGCTATTCATTATTCAAATATTTTTTAATTAGTTTTTTTATCTTCACATCAGAAAAATCTATTATTTAATTAAGACATACTGAGGTCATATAGGTTTTTTCTAAGTTTACATTATCTTATTTTATAAGATTTAAAATTGTAAGCAATTGTTTTTGTATAACTATTCTACTCTAAAAATTTAAATTGAAGTGAGAACAGATGTTATATACAAAAAAGTAACATTAAAAAAATAAAACCTCTGTAAGATATTAAATTTCCTTTGCTTCATCAACATCATATAATCCATCTATATCAGTTTCTTTATAATTATATTCCAATTTACTATTAGTAGCTGTAGGTGAATCTTCAATGTGTTTGATCTGAATAACATATACAAAATCAGAAATGTAAAAAACATTTATTGTAGAATTATCTGTTTGTTCTATTTATTACTAACTTTCTTAGTACAATTGTTATTCACCAACTCTAATAGGCATTTTCCAACACCCTTCTGCAATAAAGTAAATAATAATGATGACAATTTGTTCTTACTGATTCTTCACAATCTCACATATTCTTATCAAAGTTGTATTAACTCTTTCAATAGTACTTTAAAATACCATTGTAGTACTATTCATTACAGAACAAGCAACACTAATCTATAATTATAAGAACATCAATATAGATAAGAAATTGAAATGTTTAATCTTTTCAAGAAACTAACCTCTGCTAAATGTAGTTCTTTTTCTCTAGTTTTGATTGTAGTATCAACAAGATTATTCTCAATGTTATTCTAAAGTATATCAATATCTTTGTAATGATTGTGATAGCTCTAATTAAATAAACAAATTAGCAATATCAACTTTTATTAAAGTTTCTACTATTATATCTGTACAATGCAGACCACAACAGACACATAAGACTATAAATTGGGCAACATGTAATATGCCCAATGTAGTTATGTGAGGTTTACCTCTTCTTAGAACTACTAAAAGTCTCCTATACTGCATCTTGGCAGACTACAACAGACATATAAGACTATAAAGTAAGTAACACATAAAATGCTCACTATAGTTGCATGCATTTTACCTCTTCTTGAGACTACTAGGAGTCTTTTATACTGCTTATCAAAAAGAAAAATTTCAAAAAAGCATAAAAACTTGTCTTAAAGCTTTGCTTTAATTGATTGGCATTATTTTTAGCTTTTTTTAAACCATTCAATATAAGAAGATTTAGACTTTTCCAGAGTCTGCTAGCTTTTTTCTAAAAAGAAAATATGAAATTCTCTTGCTTTTGATGATATTTATAAAAGTTTATAAATGATATTCTTTGAATAGCATTTTGTTGAAGTAAGTATTCTAGAGCATTGTTTGCATGATCTATGATAAAAACAGCAAGCAGATTTTTACTAATAAATCGATTATTATCAAACTTTGTGCTATGTATTTGTATAATGATAAATGCATGATAATGTAATTTTGATATACTTAAATTTTATTTTTTTTTTAGAATACTTAATAGCTATTCTTGAAAATAATGATTTTAACTGCAAAGAACATCTTTCTCCTAAACTATTGTTTAAATAAACTAATCTTAATCATTGTATTTTAGTCACAAAAGAAGTTGTAAAGCATATAAAAAAGACTCATGCATTATCCTAATATTAAAAGGATTTATGATTCAATAATATGACTATTAGAGCTATCATATATAATGTTAGGTTTAATTTAATATATAGAAGCTATTAAGAATGTCTTATTATATAATAAATTCAACATAATTAAAAAGATCAATGATAAAACAACTCAAGTGATATTTTTGTATCAGAAAAATTAAAATATACTGCTTTGTATTTCATTCTATACTTCATTTTTGATTTAAATATTAATAAAGCTAACATTAGTGCTATATTGTCCTGATTTTGCATATATAATCATGTTTAATCATGTTTGCTTTTTATATGTTTTTTATGAATTTATTTTATTGTATTGTTATCAATATCTGTTAACTTGCATATAATTGAGAATTTTCTTGGTAAACTTGAACAACCTGAGGTCTGTGAAATTTGAATGACCTAAGGTCTACAAAATTACTTGGCAATTTGATTTTTGGTTTAATTCAAAAATTTAAATAAATAATTCTTATATAAAACAATAGCAAATACACAATCCAAAATTAATTTGCTAGAAGAACAGAACTTTAAGCTTATTGTAGAAATTACTAAACTTAAAAAGAAGTATGCTGGGGTTGAGGTTGAGAATATTGAAGTAAACCTAAGAACACAAAGCTAAAGTAGTTCATAAAAGAGAATACTAAGCTCAAAACCAGAATTAAGAAGTTAGAGAAAAATAAAATAGAAACTACTGCTAAAAATGCTAAACTTAAAGCTAGAGTTGTGAAATTATAACAGACTTTTGAACATTGGCTAAAAGATGATAATAATTCTTCTAAGAATATTGTTAATGTACCCAACTCTGTTATAGATCAGTGCATTGATACTAATTCCAAATTGTTAAAAATAAAAAGATAAACAATTTTTTAGATAAAAAAACAAGAAAAAAGTTAGTAATAAAATAAAACAACATAATAAGAAAAGAAAACTTCTATATGAATTAGATAAAAACTTATCTTAGTACTTATTTTTAGTTAACTACAATGTTTGTTAGATACAGTATATTATGCAATACAAAAATAATTAACAACCAGAATTTATGTAAAAAGAAAAAGTAAGAAGATTTAATACAGTAAATATTACTTAAAAAAAATTATATAAATAAAAATTTATTGTGAAGCAATAATCCTTCAGGTCTATCTTCAGATTAAAAAAGTACATATATCATAAATGCAGAAGCATTCTCACTTTGTGAGACTTCAGATAACTGCAAAAGCAGGCCTTATAGAGCTAAAAACATCATTAACTTATATCAAAATGCATGCAATGCTGAAAAAAGCATAATGAAAGCCAATTAGAAAGAAATATTATATTGGTATTTGTATGCTAAAGAATTTAAATATTTGGTTAGAGATTTTATAACCAAATATAACATTAGTGAAAAAAAAGCAAAAGGCCTGGTCTATAACTTTATTATAAAACAACTTTCTAATACTAAGCAGAAAAATTTATGTAAGCAAACTCGGAGAGCTATAAAAATCTTTAATTTATTTGAAAAAATAGATGTAAATAAGATTTAATATATTAAAACTTATAGTATGAATTCTATTTCAAAATTTACTAACAAAAAACTTCAAAAGGTTATTGACTATTTCTCTAGCAATCATGCCAATTCTTTACAGAAATTTTGGCAACCTTGGGTCTTTCAAATTATGTAACTAAAATTTTTGAATCTAGTTTGGAAAGTATATCTACTGAATCTCAAGTTTCTGATTTATCAAACTCTAAACTATTTTAAGAAAATGATCAAGATAAGTCAAAGACTTGAAGCTTTGCCTTTTTAGAATTATCAGAAGCTAAGATAAATGCATCTACTAAAGAAACAGAGTCTTGAGTCTCTAACTCTGTTAATTCAGAAATAGAGATAAGTATGCTATCTATATTTTAGGTAAATATATCTAACAAATTCTAACTTCCAATTTCTATTTTATCTAACAATTTTAAAAAAAAACAAACATATGTAATAAAAATAGTATTGGAATGATTCACTAATTTATCTTTTAACCATAATAGTAAATATACTGATCATTTCAATTATACAAAAATATGTCCTGTATATAATGAAAAGCATAAAGACAATAATATCAGTAGTAAATAGAGTAGTAGTAATTATTACAGTAAAGAAACTTATTGTCTTTATTGTAAGAAGGTATATCAAAATAGAATCTAAATAATAACTGTAAAAAAAGAAAATATAAAAGAAAAGCAGAAGAAAGGTATTGAAGCAGTATCCAAGTATATCTTTGAGTTGTAGTACTAATTCTAATAATATATATTATTGCAACATGTCTAAATCCTTATGTTCATCTTGCAATTTAAATCATAAAAAAAATATTGTAAGCTAGTATAAGAGGGAATCTTATTCCTTAAACTGTTTTCTAGGCAAATTTGCCTAGATTTTTAAATTAAATTTAGTATTATTTAAATAACATAATAAATTATTAATAATATGGGATACAGTTTACTTATAAAATATTTTATTGAAAATATACTTTACAAACTTTATTAAAAAAATTTTTAAAATTAATAAGAAACTTTTAAGCAATAAAAATTTAAAGTTTTTGTTTAAAAATTTTTATTATAAAAAATTTCTTTAAACTTTTCAAGATTTTATATATTTCCGAAGCTAAAAAAAAATTCTATTCTTAATACAAGTCTAAATTTTTATAAGTAAATTAAAAAAGCTGTATTAATAAAAGTTGTCATCCTTTATATAAGCTAAAATATTGTATTAAGAATTATAAGTTTAAAATTAATATTTAAAGAGTTCATCAAGAATTAGTCAATAATTTTTTTAATTAAAAATTTTTTTAAATTTGTTTATTTGTAGCTTATAAGTAACTTAAACTTTTTTTCTTATAATATAAAATTAAATATTACTATATTATAATCCTTATCTTAAAATATTATTAAACAAAATTTCATTTAAATATTTTAAAATTTAAAAATTATAGATTATAAGTATATTTTTGTTAATTTTCTAGACAAATTTGCCTGGAAATGGTCTACAGTTTAAAGGATAATATTAGATGCATGTTTAATTACACAGATAGAATTGATGTAACAATATAAATAATTATATAAAAATAAAAAATAAACAATGGCAAGGCATGAAACCTCTACTTTATTATTATAAAAATAATATTGCTAAATCAATATACAAATAAAAAAATACATTATAGTTGCATACTGCAAACAAAAATATAAACTATTTATTAATTTTGATTTAGTTTTTCTTGTTATTGTCTAGGATTCTCATACTTATTAGAATCATTTTTCTTACACCATTCTGATATTTTCAGAAAAATTATCCAAGAGTCTGCCTTCATTAACATTATAGTCATTATCTTCTCTGAGGTTATAAGTCAAATTATCTAAATTAATGTGATAAATTATATTTTTTTAGTTTTACTAAAAGTTATACTAACATACTTAATTGTATTTAACTTTGCAGAATTTTATTTGCTATATCAGTTTTTCTTACTTCTATATTGACAATTGGAATTAGATATCCTTTGGCTAGGTCTTGGATTGGGTAGTGTTAAAGAGACATAATAGGTCTTGAAGAAGTTATTATTATTAGTCATAGAAGTAGTGATGTTATTACTTATAGTAGTGGTATTATTATCATTAGTGATGGTGTTATTAGTAATAATGTCATTAGTCTTGGTAGTGATGATTTTTTTATTACTGCTCATTTTTCATACCTAAATATAAAAAAAATCTTAGTAAAAAAAATTTGGTTTCATAGCTAAAATAAAATAAAATAACACAAAATTACTTAAAAAAATACAAGCAAATAAGTAAAATATATATAAGCAAAAAATAATGTTATTGCTAACTTATCTTATAGATAAGAACTTGTTTATTTTATACTTCATATTCATTAAGTCTGAGAACCTGCCAGAAAGAAAAAATACACAATTAGTAATTATGATACCCAAACCTAGCACTAGTTTTTTCTTCATAAAGCACTCTGTTCAGTTATAAGTTCTAATACTAAATTTATATCATTATTTTTTTGATGAAATTAACTTCTCTTAGATTTAATAATTACTTAAGATAGATTTAGATCTGACAATCTTGGAAATTGTAGAAATTTGAAGTCTTTATAAAATATAAATTTTAATTAAACTACTGATAAAAAACTTTATATTTATTGCCTTCATAATCTTTTTAAGTCTTATTCTTATTGCAAGATTATATATAAGGATTTAGTTATTTGTAAAATTAGTTAAGACTAACAGTTAAAAAATCGATGTTGAGAAAGTAATTATGCATTAAGGTAACATCATATAAAATTTAATACCAGTTATTGATTATTAAAGCTAATAAACT